TGGGCAGCGCCGGAGGTGTTTCTCCCCAGGTCGAACAGCGACACCGCGCTTAACGTCAGCGCCATGAGCGACGTTTATTCCTTCGGAGGGGTCATCTATCAGGTATGCGCAGCATGCCCTCGCTTGCCGTTCATTGATCATGACCATGGTCTAGGTATTGTGCGGCGAAGTCCCCTTCTCCAGCCTCCACCACGACATCCGCATCATCATGGCGGTCACGAACGGAGCCCGGCCCCAGCGGCCGCCGGTTATTTCGGCGGTCAATTGGGCGTTCATAAACCGGTGTTGGGACAGCGTGCCTGCGAGCCGGCCGTCGCTCGTGGAGATCTGCGAGTTTCTGCAGCACCGATTCGAAAACCGATGGATCAGGCCATAGGTTTAGGCTCTACTACCTGCAGCCTAGGGTAAATTATACCGACTTTAAGTTATATCTTAAGTGGATGCTGGGCTGGCTGAGAGGGTATTTATGCCTTATAGTATACATACCCGTGATTTGAACCCTCGTATTATACACGTCCCGGGCTCGGGCATTCGAGGGGAGAGTATACGTACTAAAATACATATATATTATCGGGTCCGGTGCCAGCTTGCAAAGGTCAGGTCAAGCCGAGTACATAAGCCTACAAGAGACTCGAGAGCAATAAGACGGCGTCGGAAATTCTTGATCGGAGTCGGAGTTTATGTGAGTGAATGGTCGCAGATTTCCGTGAAATTAAAGAGCTGGCGCTTTACGACGGAGTCTTCTTGTTTGAACTTCCATTCACTATCATTCATGGTGCATATTCATGTCCATTTAAGCAAACCGAGTAACCCAATGTCCCTGCCCGTCCTGTTCGTTTTCCACCTTCACTTTCCAGATATCCCTAACCGTGCAAACGATTTCCGTCTCCCAATCCACGGACAGTCCACACTCGCGTGCGAGAACATCATATTGGTACAGCAGCCGGAAGCACATCTTGAGATAATTTTTTAGTTTGCCCAAGTTGCAGACTTGGAGCGGGTCAATCGCATCGACCAATGGATTTAATGATTTGTATTTTGTGCCCAGGAGGAATTCCCGGTGGGGATATGCGTGCGCGTCGTAGTCGAGGCCTGAGCCCGCAAGCATGGAGATGACCCATGTGTAGCCGCTCATGGACTTGTACCGCCCATCGGCGTGGAGCTCCGGTTTGGAGAGCAGCACGTTGAAGAAGATGTATGCCTGGAGGGCCCAGGCGCGGACGTGGTTCAATCCGTATCCCCACACCACCGAGTGGAGGCGCCGGAGCGGGAGGCGCGGGTGCTGCGCCCAGCTCGTTCTCCGCGAGAAGCACCTTCACCACGTCCGCTAGGTCACCGTCGCTGGAATCGTACACTGGCTGGCTAGTATCGCCGCCCACCAGTTTTCGATTAGTTGGGTTTTTTCCGTGATGGGGGACCACGGAAGGTCAAAGTAGCGCTCGATCACGGCATTGGAAAATATGGGTCCTTCTGCAGAGGCCTTGTACTTGGCGGGATGCTTGACGCGCTCTGTGTCCGAGAATAGGCGGATGGTGGACGCGACGGTGCGGGCGAAGTGGCTGAGAGACGCCCGTTGAGATGGCAGATCACGCGGGAAGAGATCCGTTTTATGGGGAGTGATTTTGGGATTTTCGTGGATGTAAACAAGGCTGGAGGACAGGGAGTCCCAGGCGATGTTATGCGTCTGATGCATTGCTTCAAGTTGCCAGTGGGCGGGGAATAAGTCGATAGGAAGCGCTTATGCAAAGAATCTGACAGGCAGTGACACCGGGCGCAAACATGGCGGCCTTGACCAAGCAGCCGGCGGCCGCCATTGCAACCCCAAAAGGAGATATGATAGGACCAGATCACTGGAGGCACGTGAAACTATGTAGTTGTAAGTAGCGTCGCGCGTTTGTTTTAGCAGTCATCATCGTGCCTCAGACTCTGCAAATCTACAACAACTCAAGATCTAGGGGCCAAGTCCAGTGCATGTCGCCGTTGTGTCGGCCCGCCAGCGGCGCGTGCGCGTCGTTCCATGCGTTGCGGAGTGTACCCCATCAGACGTCGAGGTCATTTGCGCTCTCGCTCTCTTCCGGGTCGCTTATAGCGGCTTACGCGTAACGCTGGCCTTCCATAATTTCCAGTCACTTGATATGGCACGGGATTTATTGCCGCCTACGCTCCGCACAATAATCGGCACCCTGCTTCTCGACTTCTGGACGCCTTTCCCTTTACCATCTTGTGCAAGCCCTACTTGTCCGGTCCCTCATCTTATCCAGGCGCTATGCATGATGTCGCAGTCACCAAATTCAACCTGACCGTCGACGACTTCGACTCCTTGATCACGTACCCGGTGCAGAGCCAGTGGACGACTCCGGACCCGTCTGCGGGGCGCAACCCAGCGCTCGCCGAGTGGTTTGACGAGACGTTCCACCGCACCAATGTGACGGGCGCGTCGTTCTCGTTTGGTTTCAAAGGTGGCGAGCCCTTTGTTCCGCCTCAGGGCCCAGGGGCAAATGGATGAAAAAAAGTGCTGACTGCGCGTCTCCTAAGGATCCGAGTTTTTCCTATACGGCGCCGCCGGCCCCGCATTCGGCTCGTATGAGATCGACATCGACGGGCATGCAGAGGAGCTGAGCGCGCACGCCGCGCAAAATGCGTCGGAGCACCTGCTGTTCCATGCCAGGCGTCTGCCGTACACGACGCACATCGTCACGGTGACGAATCTCGGGCCCAGGCGCCGCGGCGATGGCACTGACCTCCTCGTGGACTTTCTGCAAACGACGGTCGACTTGGCACCTGCGGGGTAAGTAAGAATAAGTGGGACGTCGCGATCCCGTGACTGACAGAACGCGTGGCTAGCGCAACGTTGACAAACACCACCCTAGAAGAGACGGACCCGCGCCTGGTGTACACCGGAAACTGGACCGTGCGTGTCCGCGTCATCTCTGATTGTTGCAATGAGCATTGACTTCGAGAGGCTCTCAGGAAAACGTCTTCAACCCGCTATTTTCCGGCGGCTTTTCGCGCTTCACAAATGGAGATGGCGCCTCGGTCTCGCTCAATTTCAGCGGTACGTCGCGTATTATCCGTATCATCGCACAGCTCACGTCTTTCGGGCTGCCAGCGACGGCGATCTTCATCTTCGGCGACAAGACCGACCGGCACGGGCTGTACACCGTCGCGCTCGACGGCGGCGCCCCGCAGACCTTCAACGGCGTCTCGGGGTGCGGCGGCGCGTTCGCGCACGCGTGCGAGAAGGACAACACGCTCGCGTACTTTGCCGCGAACCTCGACGCGCGGCCGCACTCTGTGACCGTGACGAACATCCCGGGCGCGCTTGGCGCGTTTTTCGGTGCGCAGCGGCTGCCTCCCGTGAGATCGAGCAGACTTTTCGGCTGACTGACGACCTGCGATGCGTGTAGATTTGGACGCCATCGTGCTCCTGACGCCGTCGGAGTATCTGGGCGACCACGAGGGGCATGGGTATGAGGACACGCTCGTGGCGAGGACTTCGGGCGCCTCGCGCGCTGCGAGCCCCGTGAGTGGTCCCTTGCTGCTCATGTTCTTCTTCGCCTTGTACTTTTTGCGTCCCTTCCATAAGTAACAAATGTCCTCTCTATGAATTCTTGTATTACAAATAAATAATTGTCTCTGGGGAATCACAGGGAAGGCGGCCGTCCGTATTAAGCCTCCGTACGAGGAGGACAGTCACATCAACCCAGGCTGTACCAACTCGTTGCTGTTGCATTGCGGAGAATGTCAGCGGACTCGGTGCCGACAGTACCGTGACACTCACTCAGCTGCAGTCCCGCCCACGGCGTGCTGCGGGTGAGCCATACAGGCATCAGGGCCCTCATCCGGAGTAGGCATGTTGCAGACGCAACAATACTTCATGCGGCGCGACGACACGCGGCAGTAGCGGAACGGCGCCGAGTCCGAGTCCGTCTCCGGCGGGGGCAAGTCCGTCTCCGTCCTGCGCAAACACAGCTCGGATCGATGATACATAGTGGCTATTGACTCGCCCTCGTCATTAAGTTCAGGCACCCACACCAGTCTGGAGCGGAGCTCGACATATCGCCCGAGGTTTACGGAGTCGCTCAGCCCCCGGAAAACGAGGTCGGCGTTGATATCGAAATCGCGATAGGGGTGGTAGAAGACGTCGAAGTCGATTCTGAACCCGCCCAACACGCCGTCTTCTGTGGTGATTGCCATGCATGGCATGGTGCTACAAGTGAGCCACGTGTAACGGTGACCAACCACAGGCGCGACGAACCGAATTTGATCAGCCACGTGAAGGGCTCGGAGGCCGGCGCCGTGCGGCGCACGAACTCCAGAGTGACAAAATGCGGCAAATTAAGGTGATGCGGCGGGTCTCGGGACATGGTTTCGAAGGCCTTGCACACGATTTCGTGGAAAAAAGGAAAGGTGCGCGGGAAAGCCTGAGGGTACTGCACGAATGGCGAGTTCTCGCCGAATAGAGAATTGGCGAGATGGACCTCGCGTTGGGCGTTCAGCCATGGGATGATCAGGCGGCGGCGGAGGGTCTTCAGTTTGCGGCCGCGAAACAGTGGGGGGAGTGTGTCGCTCATGGGGGGTCCGGGGTTGCACCGTTTCTGGCTGGAGTTATCCTATCACCAGTGCCGGCTGCCACATGCACAAAGAACAATGAAAGTATCGGGGATGGATCAAGAACAACAACAGCATGACGAGAATTTTGAACGACCATCCCGTCGACATGGCGATGGCTGACAGCGGCGTGAGTTGGGGTTTATGGCTGAAGAACAAGGACCCACACGGACCTATCCGGATTTAACCAACCAATCGGACTCCGGCCGCAGGGATCATTCGGATCATTCTAATTTCTCTGATTTCGAGTCATTCGAAAGCACCAGACGCTGAATAGGGGTTGAAATTCGTCTATATTATCAAGAAATTTACTGCGCGGCATCGGAAAAGGAACCACCTGTGCCGCGAATTCCACTGATATTAGTTATGGTAATTGAAGTCTTTCCATTGCCCTGTTGGTCTAGTAGTATGATTCCTCGTTCGGGTAGCCCCGTTCTCCATAGAACTTCGAGGAGGTCCTGGGTTCAATTCCCAGATAGGGCCTTTTTGCCCCAAACTAACTGCTCGGTTGCCCCACTTGCGGTGCTCCTAGCGAACTTGTTGATGAGTTTAGATTCACTTGTAAAACTGCACCAGAGTCTGGAGTATCATGTCCAGCCCTCACCCAATGAGTCGCAGATGTTCATCTGAAATTTGATACATCGTGTAGGAGCTTAATTCCCCGAAGTCAGCATCTAGCCAGATCTGCACGAAAATAGGGCGAGTATCTGCTCTTTAATACTGACTTCTATTTGTTTTGTGCTAATATCCGGAATTGGCCCGTGCTGACCTCCAAGGTCTTGTCGGTATCGGATGCAATGACAAAGACCCCGCCCTTTATGCCAGTGGCTTTAATAAAGTTCTTTCTCTGCAACTCGCTTAGAAAAAACGTGGAGGCCAGCTGGCCCGAGCCTCCTGCCGAGACAAACATCAACGCTGCCGTATTCATGCAAACAAGGAGTCATTAGCTTTACGGAGTCACTTGCTTTTTCTTTAGGAGCGTTGTCTGACTTCTCATAGGCAACTTGAACATACAGTCACTTGAGTAAGGGCGGTCATATTTTACCCGAGGCACACCAAGCGGCAAAGCGGACAATGACATAACTAGAAGGCAGAAGACTCAATCCTCACTGATTCCCGGACAACACAACATTACTAGAAGGAAGAGGACTCAACCAAGCCACTGAGTTGTGCTCAAGACTGAGATTCAGCCTGCTATATATTTATTAAAACTTGAAGGGCAAACGCAAGGCGAAGGTGGCAGTGCCGCAGGTGACTAACTTCGTGGATCATCAATTAGAGCGCCGACGCCATGGATGACAGCCCCGCGATATTGGGGCAAGGTGGTTGCATGTGAGTAGACACCGGTACCCTCTATGTAATGTGTACAGCGTGAGGTAGAATGAAAGCAATACAGTTAAAATTGAGCCGGACGTTTTTTCCACGATTTTCGCGTTCACTCATCCGACTCGCTCATACGTGGCTAGCTGTTACTGGAGGCTAACTTCCATACACCCTCAGGCACTCATAGGTGCTCAGTGAGGGGGGGGAGCGCAGTCGTAGTACAGTGTCGCTTATTCGATGATGGTGATGTGCTCGGGAAGGCCCGGAAATCATCGGAGTACAGTAATATCAGGGCCTGCAGGCTGTCTCCACTAAGATTTAGTCATCAAAAAATACTCTGCCTCAAATGCCGCTGACGGCCGTCATGTCACGGCCATTCCGTTGACCGTCGCCCGTCGGAGATCTGGCCATCGCCGTATCAGTTAACCCTGAATGAAGCTTTTTATTTTTTCAATAACGTTAACGTGAAGAAATCAAAAGCAGAGTACAGTCATTAACCGGGAAGCAAAACAAACCGTGAAGCAAAACATCACGTGTTTTGCATCATTTGAGCAACCCCCAGGGCCCGATTTTTTTTAGCACATTCTAGAGTATCCAAAATTCATATTCACAAAAGAATTAGTGGTTCAAGAGCTCAAGAAAAAGAAATCTTTTGAATCACTGTTTGGCTCAGTTTTGTCACCAATATTACAATTGAGCAGCCACTGTCCCTCACTGCTGTGCAGGAATTACACAGTTATGGTATGTATTGGGGGTTTTCAGGGTCGTAGAATTAGAATATGGCCACCACAGGATTTCAAAGACCCTCCATCACGCCAATCTTACTGTAGTGTTTCGCTTCGTGGTTTATGGCACAATTTGATGTTTTACAGCTATTTGCGGAACATAAGGCGCGGCTCGATTTTTTTCTGTTTTTAGACATATTTGCTAAGCAAACACCCTTTTGCCCATATCTCACTCAATTCTTCTCTGATTGCCTTCGGACCAGGCTCAATCGTTTTGTATGATTGTTTTACAGTGCTTAGGCTACTTGAATAAATTTATTTGGGGTGTGGACTATCAGAGAGTAAATAATAAGCAGTTTTCAGATCCCGCTGATCACGGAGTTGCACCATTCCGTGCTCGCCGGATCAAACCCGATTCGGGCCGCTTCGTTCAAATCATCACTTTGCCATATTTTCTGATTGTTCCGTGTTGGAAATCCAACCCCAGATCCACAATCTATGCCCTGGATCTACAATCTATGCCCCCGATCCACGATTCAACCCCACTATTGTGGTTCAACCTGCCTTTTCTCACCCCAAAAGATCTTTAAATATTTTATGACGATCACTTTGTTATTATTTGCTTACCATTAGCCACTGCACTGTATTTAAGCAGCCTCTACCTGCCACAATAAGACGGATGATTTGGCTCCCCCTCGATTAAGAGCTCTCATCCCCTCGTCGTTTGAAGCCGGCCCTCATCGCTGCCGTTCTTCTATATTCCATCCCGTCGTTCGCACCGTCGCCGGTACAAGTCTTGAGCAGCGCTGATCCACTTGCACACACTGTTGTGCATCCCTGCGTACCCTATCCACAGCCTCTCCGTGCTTGGACGGTACCTAGGCACGACACTGGGCACACTTTTGAAGGCCAGTGAATAGTTTTCCAGGTGGTTTTATTGGCCCAGGGTACTTATATATATGTTCTACAGTGTATAGGATAGGTAGCCTCTCTGGATACTATCTGGATTAAGGGTAGGAGATGAGTAATTGCATGTTAAACTATGTGGCTGTACTGTACCATTTCGACCATAGATTCAGCCGGTGTGACCTGTGACCACTTAGATTCAATTTTGATTGATTCAAATTGCCTTTTTGGGCGATTTTTCGGAATTTTTCAACGATTTTTGGCACGAAAAGTGCCTAAAACCACGATCCTGGAGGCCAGTGACCTGTGACCTTTATTTTTTAGCTTCAATTCAAGGACCGTCGTGACCAGTGACCTGAATCTATGGTCGAAATGGTACAGTATTCTATGCCAGAAGTGGCCTTTCTGAATGCTCTGTGGCCTGAGGGGTATGTAAGAATATCATATCTAAGTGTTTGAGGTGGTCCGAAAATATTTTATGCAGCAGAGGCCAAGTAAAGTGCAAGACAAAGAGGCGCATCAAACAGGTCACGTGATCATTGCACATATTGACATGTCTGCTTTTCTCATGAATTTAAGGGAAAACACCTTGTTCTAACATATGGGATGGTCACTCCAAGTATATATTGTGCCTCCAATGCCATCAGTGCAAAGGCTTTGCCTTAAATTCACGAAAAGAGCAGACTTGTCAATATGTGCAATGATCACGTGACCTGTTTGATGCGCCTCTTGTCTTGCACTTTACTTGGCCTCTGCTGCATAAAATATGTTCGGACCACTTCAAACACTTAGATATGATATTCTTACATACCCCTCAGGCCACAGAGCATTCAGAAAGCCACTTCTGGCATAGAATACAGCCACATAGTTTAACATCCAATTACTCATCTCCTACCCTTAATCCAGATAATATCCAGAGAGGCTACCTACCCTATATACTGTAGGACATATATATAAGTACCCTGGGCCAGTAAAACCACCTGGAAAATTATTCACTGGCCTTCAAAAGTGTGCCCAGTGGAAACTGCTTATTATTTACTCTCTGATGGTCCACACCCCAAATAAATTTATTCAAGTAGCCTAAGCACTGTAAAACAATCATACAAAACGATTGAGCCCGGTCCGAAGGCAATCGGAGAAGAATTGAGTGAGATATGGGCAAAAGGGTGTTTGCTTAGCAAATATGTCCAAAAACAGAAAAAAATCGAGCCGCGCCTTATGTTCTGCAAATAGCTGTAAATAATTGTGCCCGTTCTCCACCAGTACTGAAGGGCTTCACTCCAACTCTTTGATATCCAGGTAGCCATTTAGTATATACATTGAGCGAGAAAAAAAGTTTGGTGACTATCACTTTTCATCACTGAGAAAATCCCCGGATCGCTTGAGCGTTTCGCTTCCCGGTTAATGACTGTAGGGGATCGCGTGCCGCTATAGATACTGGTATCGTCGGGCGCCGGGCGGACCAAACTAAATCGCGATCGTGTAGATATGCGATACTGGTTGATGGTCGTGACAACATGCACGTACATGCTGCTGATCCTGCGTGCGGCATTCCAAATACGGCGAGGCGGGTGCCGCCCAATTGCAAGTGAGAAGCGAGAAGGATATGGTGCTGCCTAGCACTAGAGACGAGAGCATGATCTGGGATTAAAGCCGTTAGCAGTGAAGCTTAACGAAGTTGAGATTGGAGAGCCATCATTCTTATAACGGTATTGGATTGGTATTGGACCATAATGCTGGTGACAGCTCTCATGGAGTATTCAAGGAATCTATTCACTGTTGCGCACATCCGACCAATGGGCCCGAGATAAATTGTGGGCAAAACGGGTCTAGAACAAACGCAAATCAGGTAATACTGTCCGGAGGAGTAGAATCACCGGTGCTAAGGGTCAACTCTGCGACAGTTACTGTATCGGGGGCCGCGTTGACCGGAGTGATCGGTTCAAAAAATTATGACATGAGAAAAATAATATTCTAGTTCAGGTACTTCTATTCGGACGGGCAGAATCGCCGGTGCCGTGACTATTTTAATTGACTGAGCATTGCGCACACGCCAAGCCGTGGACTGAACGCCGGTCTCCGTGTTGTCTTTCAGGAGAGGCTTGGGATCTGGTTGGAGAAGTCCGAGCTTGAATAAGAGTTAGCGCAAGTATCCACATGAGTTCAACATGTACCGGCGTAAGGCATCTTTCACATGATCCTTTTTCATTTCTCCTTTCCAGTGAAAGAATTACATCAATTTTCTGAAATGATCGCAGCTCTACTCGCGCCATAGTTCGCCTCACTTCACTGCCAGCGCGGCCTGGCGCGGGGCATGACAGGCTAAATCGTCAGAAATTTGATCGGCATCGTATTTCCTTTCAACGACTCGTAAGAGTTATAAGTTGGATCGCCATTCTCGCTCCACACTTCTGCGCGTAAAGACTGAGGTGAGCGGCCCATTTTCTGGCCCTCTCACTCGTAATACTGACTCGTATTGCAGTTATCTAGGTGAATATACTTCGTTCCCTTGGCCTGCAAAGACTGAAT